AAATGTTTTGGGCTACAATAGGATGACCACCATAAAAGCAATAGTGTCTTTCAGAAACATGGAGGTAGGAAAAAAGAAACATTAGCTCCATGTAGGAATTGGAAGGGAAGGCACTTGCTTAGAAGCCTCTTATCTTTATTGTACAAATTGGTTTAAGTATGTAGGCATTGTAAAAAAGAGCAAAATCTAAGTGGCAAGCTAAATTTCTGAGTATTCTTTCTCTCCTGCAGTGTTAAATCATTATTACCAAATAAGGCATGCTAGTTGAGTCTCCGAATTCGTTTTAATTAAAATTAAGCCCTCATAAAATGACAGAAGTGTTTTTATCAAATAGACTGACACAGAAGTAAAACCTCATTGTGTATCATAGATTTATGAAACCCATTTGCTGAATGTTGCCATCTATAGAAATTTCTAGGTTACTGCAATCAACACACTTAACCAAAAGTAGGGACTTCTGTAAAAAAGAAAATGCTACGTAAGAATCATTTAAAATTACAGCATTAGTCTAAGCTGGTCTTCCATTGCCTGAGTCTTAAGAGCACATACATTTAAAATACTTGCCAATGACTGGTAAAAACTTAAGTCTAAAATATGTTTAGGTATAGTGTTTCTAATCTTTGCAGGTTGGTGTTGGATAAAAGTGTCGTCTGTCAGGTGCACCAGTCGGTGTTTATTGAATATTGGATGAGAAAGACCCAAATAGAAGTAGTCTCTCTGGTCCCCATACCATTTGTCTGTCCCTGTTGTGAGTATGGCCAATGGAATATTGAATTAAGGCCCTGACCCCTGACAGGTTCCCGTAATTTTAGAATTTTAGAGCTGTTGATGAGAAGTTCAGTTGGCATTTCAAGAAGGGGTCTTATCGAGACAAAGACACACAACAATTTGCCATGTGTAGTAGGAAGGGGTGGGAAATTCAGAAGAGGCACGCGGCCGCCGGGGTCACCTTCTGCAGTCTGTGCTGTGTTATACCTGTGTTTTGCCTGCAGCCAGAAGACTTGGACCCGTTCCAGGAGGCTCTAGAAGAGAGAAGGTATCCCGGGGAGGTGACCATCCCAAGTCCCAAACCCAAGTACCCTCAGTGCAAGGAGAGCAAAAAGGATTTAATAACGTAAGCATAATGTGAGGTGAAATTATGACTCTTCTTAATTTTCCCTTTTTTTTTCCTCTGGCTTATTTTTAAAAACCGGATGTGTATATGCCTTGCTGTTTGAGCATGCGACATTCGCAGCACATAAATGTCCAGACTGCCAGTTCAGTAGAGTGAGACGCTCACTGTGTACCTGCGTGTTCTGAATGATGCTCTATCGTTTGGAAGCGTCATTTTCATTTAATTCTGTGCATTTTGCAGCTTTTCTTCAGGGTGCTTTAATCCCCTTGCAGACATTGCAGCTAAACTGGAAACAATGAAACTTTTTTTAAATTTTTTTTTTTTTTTTTTTTTTTTAACATACTTACTATTTTGGCTGTTTTTGTTTTTGTTTGGTGGCAGATGTCCAACTCCAGGGTGTGATGGGAGTGGTCATGTGACTGGTAATTACGCCTCACACAGAAGGTGTGACTTCATTTTTTTTCATGGTGGATTCTGTCTTTTCAATTTATTGTTTTCAGCTTACCTCAACAATGCTGTCAAAGTAAAAATGTTGAATTCTGTGTCGAACCTTTAAGTGCTATATGTTGACTTTCAAAAGCATGCTAATTTATGTGTTGTATAATGTCTTTTACTTTTAAATAAATGACCTAAATTTGCAAAACTCTTAAACATTTAAACCAAAGAGTGCAAATATCTTATTCTTTAAAAATTGTCCATTAACAAAAATGTTTTTTAAAATTTACATTTGAACATATTCGGGGGTGAATTACTCAAAAAATTCAATATACAGCACTTTTCCCATTGCTTTTCTGCATTAAAATTTTAATTTTGATTTTTTATGTTGTGTTTGTTCGGGCGGTTAAGATGCTTGGAGGGGGACTCACCTCACTGTCCTGGCCTGTCTTACAGTCTTTCTGGCTGCCCGCTGGCTGACAAAAGCATCCGAAGTATGCTGGCCACCAGCTCACAAGAACTCAAGTAAGATTTTTATTGAAAATAATTATCTTTTAGAAACCTATTTACTCAGTAGTTCACAAAAAGTAATGTGTCATTGAAAAGAAAAGTGTGTTTAAAAAACTCACCTGTACACATCAGTGCCTTGATCTAGTGTCCATTCTCTGGTCCTCAGATTTCAGCCACTGCTCTGGACAATCCACTCTGCCTTTTCTCCTGACATTTATCTCTAGTTCTTTTGTATCATATCCTCTCTCTCTCTCGAATTCCTGAAGCATATGTGCTTTCTCTTCACATATGCATGAACGTAGAAGAGAAATTTTACAAAGTTACTAAAGCTTTTAGGAAATGACTGTAATTTAAAGAATCAAAATTGATTTTTTTAAACCACAACTTAATACGATTATTTAAATTATGGATACTTAAATAGCACTAATGATAAAAATCTACCATGATAATTGCTTATTCCTAAATACACTGTGCTCTTAATTATTAATACTCTTTAGGACAGTAATAACACGGTTCACAGATCTGTAGAGTCATGGTGCTCAGTTGCGTGCGCACACACACGCACACACACACACACGCGCGCGCACACATCATTCTAATAGTTTTACCTCCCTTTCCTCTACACCTACAATTTTTAAGCATAAATCTGGCAAAATGATGAAACCACCTACATTTACACCACCAGACTGAGGTTTCTTCCTTTGTGTGTGTGTGTGTGTGTATACATATGTGTACATAGATATGTATACACACATATACATATACATCAACATTCAGGTCCCAGACAGGTTTTAGAAGAAGTCGGTACGAGCTATGGAAAGTGTGTCGAGACGGTGGGCGCCGCAGTGAGAGCAGGCACTCGGTCGTGTGTAGGGACAGAGGGCAAGACTTGAAAGACAGTTTTGCAGCAAGATGCTACCCAAGAGTCTCCAAAACAATTGTTCCTAATTACCTGACATATCATATCATTATGTCAAGTGTCTCGGTTTCCATTTTGTTTGGAAAAGGCTTTACTATCCATGCAAAGAAAATGCTGTTTTCACACCCACATTGATTCTATTCCAAGCATCCCACCCCCTGCGGCCCCCTCTCAGCCCCATGAGGGTAGACCAGGGTTATCAGGAAGTGCAGGATTTTGTTTCACGCCCATGTCATTTTTTACAGGATCCCTGTCCAAGGCCCTAGTGCCATAGATCACCTGCTCATGTTCAGTGACTTCCTGAGCTAGCCCTTTCGCCACAGGACACTTGGCGCTTTCTTCGTGGAATGTAAACACCTGGAGGGCCTCCTCTTACCCACCACCTTTAAGTCTGTAGCGTCATGCAAAGCAGTGCCTAATGGACAAAGTAGCTTTAGAATCTCAGAACGGACAGCATTAGCAAGAACGATTCAACCCACTTTGTTCAGGCATCTTTTTTCGTGGCTTGAAACCGCATGTCCCTCATGGTCAAAATGCGATTAACTACACTTGGAACTTGGCCAACACATCAGAGCCTGGCAACAGTCCTTTGAATTTCTTGATGAGGAATACGTTCAAACGTTTGGCATGTCTCCAGGTCCAGTAGGCCAGCTGTAAACAAGAAAATGGCCTTTGCACAACTTGCATCTAGTGCTGCCTCTAACTAGTGTCTCAGGACCCCCCCGAGACCACAGCACTTTTCTGAAGGTTTAGTTTTTGGAGGCTTGCCTCCCTTAACCTTTGCGCTGGGGCATTTATGTTGGTCTGAAATTCCGAGCAGACCTGCTGTTTCTCCAGTCTCGGCACGTCCTCCTTATCTTATTTCGTCCGGGAGGATGGGGGCCGTCCTCACCATCAGCATGTTCAGGGGAAGGCGGTTTCTCCTCACATCCTCCACTGCAGAGCAGCGTTGGTCAGTGGTCAGCTCTCTCCTTCCCACCTCTTCCTGGAGGGGAGACTCTATCTTCCAGGGGGTGGATGGCATTTTTCTAATTTTGGTTGATCTAAAATCCACACCCATTTCTAAACTCATCTTTGCAAAAAGTAAGTCCCATTCTGATCGACCCTTTCTGGGAAATCTAAACTTGACTAGTTTTCTGTAATGTGCCATTTCTGTTCATGGATCTTCAAACTGAAAGATTTCAATTAATTGTCTCCTATAAAAAAACAATATTCAAATGACCAATTTGTACTTGAAGCTGTGTCTTTCTAAACTGAAGAAACCATAGGTTATAGCTTTTTCTTGTAACCTTTCAGTTGATGATAGCCTCCATTCAGTACTTATTTGTCTGAGTCAGACAGGTCTTCAGGTGGCTTTCCAGAGCAAACGATTGTGGCCTAATCTCTTTAAGGCTTGTCTTTAGAAGGATTCATGCATGTGCCCTTTTCAATATGTTATTCTTTATATTTTTTAAAAAAGCTTTGGTTGACTCTTACTGCAGCTGTGTCTTCCCCAAATAAGGAGGTGAAATCACACTGTCCGTTGTACAAGGCAACATTCTCTACCTGTTAGTAAAGACATATCCAAAAGTGGGTCTTGATTACCTCGAAAATGTTTTCTTTATTGTGCATCAGCTAACAAATGGAATTTTCTGGAAATTTTCTTCTTGTCACTTTCAACACTGGATTTTGATAGTTAGTCATGATCATGGACAAGACAAGTTTGCCAGGTACACTCTGGGTCTTGGGTCCTCAAAGCTCTCAAACTTCCTGAGATAACACTTTGCTCATTTCTTATCTGGAGCAACAAACGTGGGGTATTCTTTAAAAAAATCAATAATTTTATGTCTAAATTGTACAATATGTAAACCAAAAGTGCATTAAAAGTTAATGTGTGCGTGAATCTCACTCAAACTCTGGAACTATGACTTTCTCTGGACTCTGGTCCATCTGATGTAGAAAATATAGCTCAGTGTCTCAGAAGTGAGGTGGGAACTGATAAAAGGGAGACTTTGAGGAGGCAGAGGAGAGAGGCAACTGCAATTCAGAAAGCCCCTGTGTCTTGCAGACCCTTCCAAGTGGGTGCCTTGAGGTAGCACCCAAGACAACATTCATACACCTTCCACAAGCCTACCTCACAGGGGTGCTGTAAGGATTCCCTACCTGTGACATTCAGTGAGAACGCAGGCCAAAGAAAAAATAAATAAATAAAACCATGCAAATTAAAGTGATATTTTGGTGAGAACTTTGCCTAACATGAGCTCCGGCTCAAAATGAAAGTGTCTTCTCTTAAAATTTCATTTGCTAAGATTCCCTGAAAAATGCAATGTAACAAAACCTGCAAATCACATTACATTGTCGTCAGCCTTTATTTTTTTTTTTAAGCATTATATTTTCCCGGCCAGGAATTATTTTTCTACTTCCAGATGTGTGTCCAGTTGCAGAGCTATGCATGATGTAGGTGTGCTAGCCATCTCAGTTACCAATTTAAGCCAAATGAAAACTGATTTCAGTCAGAGACAATCAGCTCTTAAAATGGGCCCTTGAATTTGCTTCCATTTGTACCTTGGTTGGACAAAGTTAGATATCTCTTTATTATCCGTATCTTTATCTTATAATACCACGTGTCCTGTCATTAGTGTACCTCTTTGCAGGAAAGAAAATTTTAGACCTCTGGTTATTTTTTATGTCTTGGTGTTTAAACTTTGACTTAATTATCATGGGGGTGGGGGAATCCCACTTTTTGATTCTCTGCCATTTAGAGTGTTCCCTTATGTATTCTGTATTCTCTAGACATGTGTCCTGTGTCTTTTTAGCCGGTCATACAGGAGTTTGAGCCACATATAACATAAACCTTTCTATTTTAACCTAGTTAGATTTATTTTAAAATAAACCATAAATCAAAGAATTAAAATTTCAAACTTAGGCCAAGATGTCACTTTTTTCTGAAGGCTACTGATTTCTAGAATGTCCTGGGCTCACTTTGCGGCTGCTCAGTAATGCCGCTCTGGGAGGTTCTGTACGAGGGTCTGGCGGAGCTCTGCCTGCCTTCGGCTCCCACTGTGAAGAGCACAGGAGACTCGTCCACGTCTGCTTGCCAGGGTCCTGGGGTAACCCTCATCCCATAATATTCCTGCTCTTGCGGTTCACAGCAGTAAACCCGCAGAGATTTGTGAGTCATAACCGCCCTTGACACGGGCCTGGTTTCCTTGACAGACGGTTGCATCTTCTTATCAGAAGAACAAGTTGACCTCTGTGTTAATTTAGCTCCTTTGTTTCAGAAGGTCATTGTGATATTCTGGCCTCCACATCCTGTGATCTTTCACTTCAAAGATTACTCCCCCAGACACCCTTGTTATTGTTAGAAAAATCATTCCACTCAGCCACCGACTCGACTTCCCTGAGAGTGCCTGGGTGTGCGTGACCATCCACCTGCGAGAGTACGAGTGTCTCCAGGCAAGAAGGAGGTGTTGAGGTCGGGTGTCTCAAGTGCCCGTCACTCCCATGCACATGATCTGCTGGGACTCCAGCCAAGCCTATCCAGTCCACTGAGATTTAGCTGCTGCTCCTGAGACTCCCTCAAATCCACAGTGGCACCTGCTTTTTATGAACTACTTCCTGCTGGTAAGGTGCTCGGCAAGTGGATGGGGCTTTTGCACAGATTGCTGCCTTTGTGATAAAAGGCAGAAAAGCTTAGATCCATTCTACAGATGAGGAAACTGAGGCACAGGCAGTTGGGCTGCTCAGTCAAGATGCGTAAAGGGTCTGGTGGAGCTCTGCCTGCCTTCGGCTCCCACTGTGAAGAGCGCAGGAGACTCGTCCACGTCTGCTTGCCAGGGTCCTGGGGTAACCCGCATCCCATAATCTTCCTGCTCTTGCGGTTCACAGCAGTAAACCCGCAGAGATTTGTGAGTCATAACCGCCCTTGACACGGGCCTGGTTTCCTTGACAGACGGTTGCATCTTCTTATCAGAAGAACAAGTTGACCTCTGTGTTAATTTAGCTCCTTTGTTTCAGAAGGTCATTGTGATATTCTGGCCTCCACATCCTGTGATCTTTCACTTCAAAGATTACTCCCCCAGACACCCTTGTTATTGTTAGAAAATTCATTCCACTCAGCCACTGACTCGACTTCCCTGAGAGTGCCTGGGTGTGCGTGACCATCCACCTGCGAGAGTACGAGTGTCTCCAGGCAAGAAGGAGGTGTTGAGGTCGGGTGTCTCAAGTGCCCGTCACTCCCATGCACATGATCTGCTGGGACTCCAGCCAAGCCTATCCAGTCCACTGAGATTTAGCTGCTGCTCCTGAGACTCCCTCAAATCCACAGTGGCACCTGCTTTTTATGAACTACTTCCTGCTGGTAAGGTGCTCGGCAAGTGGATGGGGCTTTTGCACAGATTGCTGCCTTTGTGATAAAAGGCAGAAAAGCTTAGATCCATTCTACAGATGAGGAAACTGAGGCACAGGCAGTTGGGCTGCTCAGTCAAGATGCGTGGACTGTAAGTGGCAGGAACAGCACTCAAGCTAAGTGACTTTTCTCACATCATGCTTCTCTGCAAAACCGACACTAGC